TTAGATTTTGTTCTTTTCCATCACATTGAAAGTTAGGGCTTCAATTTTCAACTATGTTTAGGAGTTCAATGTTTGATTCTTCCGTCGATTACGTTTTCTGGTGTTCGGATGAACAAATACATGATTAATGATTAATATGGCATCAATTTAGGTTTCGTTTCTCATGTATTCTGTGTTTCAAAAAATAGGAAAACTGATTGATGTTTCTACCTTCTTTGTTCTTGATTTTTTTTGTGTGTTTTTATGTCGATATGGTCTCTGCGTGTGAAGGTGTGAGGTTTATTCGAAATATGTCTGTAGGCGGTTCATTTAAAATATTTGAGGTGGTGGGGTGGGAGGTTGAAGAAGAAGTGCTCTCTGTTATTTTTCTCGAGTTCGACCTCGGGCGAGGCTGGGCCCGAGATATTGAAAGATGTTCAACCTCGATGTTGAGCCTAAGGTTGAGCCTCCTTAATTACCAACCTCGAGGTGAACATCTTTCAATACCTCGGGCTCAACCTCACTCGAGGTCGAACCCGAGAAAAATAACAGAGAACACTTCTTCGTTGTTTGAACTTTGTTTGTTTGAATCTCAGTATGCATGTTTGTTTGCATTTACTTTTAGGAAATGGAAATGGTACCGAAAGTCCCTACCGCGATGTATGCCTCGTCCCAAGTGTCTTGTCTGTCGCACCTAGCAAAGACAGCCCAGGATATTAAAGAGAAACTTACCCCCCGTCAGCTTCGTCTTTTTAGGAAGACTGTATTTGACCATCTCATTGATGTGGATCTAGTATTTAATGGGCCGTTAATACATAGCTTGTAACTTAGGGAGGTATTGCTAGAAAATAGTAGTCCGGACACCATTAGTTTCAACTTGTTGGGGAGTAACGTGTCATTCGGTTGGAGAGAATTTGACCTCATAAGCGGCCTAAAATATTCGAGAGCATAGGTTAGGAAAGACACGTTTCCTGCCAAGCTTAGAACATTGTACTTCGATGATGACGTAAACCTGACCTTGGCCAATTTGGAGAAGAAGTACAAAATGTTACGGTTTGATGATGATTGGGACGCGGTGAAGGCCTCAATTGTGTACTTCGTGGAACTAGTACTTCATGGACGGGAGAGAAGTTTGAAGTTTGACAGTAGTTTGCTAGGAATAGTAGATGATTGGGAAGTTTGCTGTAACTATGACTGCGGATCCATATCGTTTGACAAGACAATAAGAAGTCTTCAACGAGCACTGACGAGTAAGACAGATGATGGGAGGTTGAGGAAAGCGTACAGTCTGTATGGTTTCCCGTGGGTGTTTCAGGTAAATAAATATCATATAATTGCCATATTTATTTGGACCCACTAATGATTGCTAACATTCTCTAT